GCTAGGGCTACCAGAACTCTGGGCTGGTTTGGGTCACAGCATCCCAGTACAAATGCACCACAGATGATGTGGAGCATCCCTCCAAAAACTGTGGCTCATTCTGGGCAGGAAAGGAGCCATGTGCTGGACTAGTCTGCAATATTTGTTCATTTCTGGACATTGGTGAGGCTGATAGGACATCCTAAAAGGGCCTCATGCTGAAATATGTTGGGACTTTTTCCAGCTCCCAAGGCATATGAGGCTGGGGAGGATGCAGACAGCTTAACTGGATGTTGAAAAAAGAAACCTACCAGATCAGTTGTTCCTGTATGTATTTCTGTGGTGTTTACTGTAATGTTATTGCATATTTATACTGCCAAGTTACTTCTAAAAACAAACTTTAAAAAAAATATGCTACACAAACCCCCATGCAAAAGTGGAAACCATGTATTGTTGCAGAATAATTTTCCAACACAATTCCTGAAATGGTCAGTCCTGACAGAACTTCTGTAGTTAAGTCTGCATAAAAGGTTGCTCCCAACAATAAGCAGCTAAAATGGTTCATGCAGTTATCAGTGCTCTGACACAGCTCAAAACTAAAAATTATGGATAGCAGTGCTTTATTTTAACAAGTTCTTTAATTCTTAGTCTTCTTTCAGTCTTCAGTCTATAAAGGTATTTCTTAGCTGCTGTATTGTCAAATTAGAAATATTGGTGAGAGCATTAGTTCATAGTTCTATCAGAATTGATATGAGAAGGTCAGTTAGAATTAAATTAGAAAGTCTGGGTCCATAGATTGAGTAGTTTAGAATAATCAGCTTTTACTTAAACCAGTGGTCTTAAATTATTTGCACTAGAGTAGGGTTTCTTTTATATTTAGCTCAATCTCTTTGAAGAAATACAGGCTGTCTAAATTTTTCAGCAATGAACATTTTACCCAAATCATTAATACATCTAAATCAGCTTATCACATAATATAAATGTTTGCCTTTTTACAAGCAAGACTGTGTGCCATGTGCTGCCTTTCTCTTTTCTATAATTAGCAGAAACATTTGGGAATTGCAATAACACTTTCTCTGTATCTTTACAAGAAAGAAAATGACCTAAAAAGGGAAGAAAGGCCAGTCTAGGAAGGAGCACTGCTAATCTAAACATCACCCACAACTTGCAATCAGGGATACTCCCTCCCTTCTCCAACCAAATATTTCTGTATTTGTGTTTTGTTTCTGTTATTCAAACTCTCTCTCTTCACTACAGATTTCCCTACTTGGAAATACCATCTTAGATCACTGTACAGCAATAACAGATAAAGCTGTTCCAAGCTGCAACTGGGCTATGGGGTAAAAGTTTGGAATTGCTAGAAGAAGAACACGTATACTGCAGACACAGGCTACCCCAGCATGGAACTATTAAGTTCAGCTGTTATTTTAGTAGTATTCACATTGATCAGATACCTGTGTGCTGTCTCTATACCTAGTAGACACTTTGCAGATAAGAAAATTGTGAAGAAAAATATGACTTTCCACTTGGAAAGCTGAATTTTGAACTGGTGTATACTGTCAAACTTCTCAACTACTGTCTTCACTAAAATTTCGGCCAGCAATATTTTGCACAATTTTCTTGGGATGTAACAAATGGTTTAAAACTCCTGAGTTCACAAAAATATCATGGCAATTTTATCTCTGAAAGAGACACCATAAGAAATTAGACTTCTGCAGAATGTTAGAACTGTGATTCTGCAAATGTTTAGTGCACAGCAAGTGAAAATTACTTTAAATGTGTTTTACATGTCTGCAAATGAAGTCACATTTCTGGACATTCAGACATCTCCCTAGAATCCTTTCAGATACAGCCATTAGGCAGAAACCTGAAGGCATAACTGATGGTTGGTTGATGTTAAGTTGGTACACAGCCTCAGTGAGTCCTCCTGTGTGATCCCCACTACCTGCACAAATATTGGAAAATAAGCCAGCTAATTAGCTAGAAATTACATAAGGCTACTATGTATCAGTACAATTTAGGTGAAATCCCCAAAGCAAGTGATTCTTGCAGAAACTGATCTCTCAAGTCCCTTCTCGCACACTAATGCTGTGTAAAAATAGGCTGTCCTTTTTTTTCATACAATTCTTCCCTTTTTGCCAGTTAGAAACAACTTTAGCAAATGCCTGGGATGGTAGCAGAAACAATAAACTGAAGGCTTTAAAATAAACTTGGCATTAAGCCTCACTGTGTTGCTAGCTCACTGTTTGATTTGAGGTCAATTGAGGCTTCCAGTCAGCAAGTGGCTGCTGTAAGTTAAGTATACTGAGAGATCCTAAACAGCTGTGAGGGGCACAAATGCACAGCATTTATGATTGCAATGCAAACAGACCACTAAGATGGCAGCTTGTTCCCACAGGAATCAACAAGTGACAATAGTTTTTGTGACAGTTAAAAACTACTTGACTATTGGGGTTTTGCCCCTTTGTGCCAAAACTTTTTGATGGGAATTGTAAGGCTTGCCAATTGTAAGGCTTGCCAGGAATGAAGTCTTAACTATAGTGGGAAAAAAAAATAAAGGAAATAGTCATGTTTAATTTGTGGTTGTAAAAGATGACTGGATTATCGTGAAAGCTTTTAGGTTTCAGAATAGTGTTGAGGACTGTAGGGGAAGAGCACTGGCCAGGCAGTACTAGAATAAAAGGTCATTTTGGCAAAGGAAACTATTGTTAATTCCTTAAGAGGCTTAGGGTGATACTTGAAACTAAATTTAGGGTTATGGCAGTGGCTCAGCTTTGGAAGTACTTCATCAACTCCTTCAATCCCAAATACTAACAGTAAGTGGAACTCCTCCCCACCTCCCCTGTCTTTACTCCAGCTGAAATTCCAGTTTAGAAGATGACAAATCATAGACCATGCAAATCTAACAGGGGAAAAAAACCATACATTTGCCTTTATTTCTTGACCTTAAAAACAAACTTCACAGTACCTTTAGCTCCTCAGTCTCAGATCTAATGCTAATAAATTTTATCCTGTCTACAGCCCCCATTCAGCCTGCAATTTCACCAATATCAACTGCTCTTCTGTTCCCACTATACCCAGCCATGGGATGTCCCAAGCCAGTCTACATTTCTAGTTTTTATCTCAGTCTTGCAGGATCCATCAGTAGATCCACTTTTTCAGCTCATCCTGTTGATCTCTCAGCCTAACCCTTATCTGCAGTAGGGCTTTTGAGGAAACCTCAGGAAATCAAGCTGGGCACTTTCTGTCATCTTTAAGCTTAATCTAACACAAAATATTGAGTGGCACAAAATGGATTAAGGCAGATCCTGGAGAAGAAATTGACTACATTATTTTTAAAGATACTACTTGGCACATCAGAGTCTACAGAACAATTTTTTATTGTTCCACAAAGCTTACAAGTCTAAGATGAGGACTCAATATTTACAGGCATAAAGCAGTTCAGACTTGTCCAAAGATGGATGTTGCTGGTCTCTCTTTACACTGGGGCTTAGACAACAGCCAGGAACTAAACTGTCAATCAGATGCCCTATTGAGTCCTGCAGTTTTTAAGCTGTGACTGTGACTGGAATGAACAGAAGCATATGGTTTTGTGTAGACACAGTATGCTGAGGTGGTTTTATTATTTTTGTCATGCTTGAGCTTTAGGATAAAACCCCAAAATTGTTACATTCTGTCTCGTCCGTGCTCCTAAAATGGTGGTGTATGGTAAAGAGTTAGATATTTGAAATTATGAGAAAGGGTACGGGTAGCTCAACTGTAATACTGAGAAAAAAAAATTAAAATGTACTGCACTGTTTCACAAAAGCAGCAGTGCTACAGTAAAGTCAACAGAAATGGAGGACAGCAAGAGTTTCATTTGCTTTGGTTATGTCTGGAAAAGTGGTGGAATATCACTTACACAAGTTCAATGAGTATCAGTGAAAATTGGCTAAAGGACTCTTAAAAATAAATTTGGCAGCACATACACTTCAGTGTCATCACCCCTGAATAAAGGAAACAAACAGCCATCTCTTGAGGCAGGATTTCTTTTGACTCATTGAAAGGCCTTCATTCTGTTCCCAGAACTTGACCTAAATAAAGTTACCATTCCTCTGTTTCTGTCCTTAAAAGCTGCTAAAATGGGTGTATTCAAGCAGGGACCGCCCATTAAATGGTTGGATTGCATCCTCTTCCTCAGTCTTTTAAAGTCCTGAGTATTGCTACGTGTAGGAGTTGCCAAATTTCCCCCTTCTGGCTGTAAACAGAACTCGTGCAGCGAACTCCAGATTTCTTTAAAAGCTTTCTAACCTCCCTCAGCATTTCACATTTATTTTCTCACCATGACTGGCTGGCTGTCAGCGGGGAAGACATAAACATCATGAACACTACAGCGTTATTTGCAGCCAGTCCTTGTTTGTAGCTGCAAGTATGGCAATTTTCAATGATGTCTTTGCTGCGCTAAATTAAGCCTGGGCTCTTGGCAGTGATTGCAATGGCTTCCTTTAACGCAGCAATAATCCTTGTTAAAGTCACCATACGTGACGCGTAGCCTTTGGCAACCAGGAGAGCCAGCGTTTAGCTGCGGAGGGGATTTTCCATCCCCACTTTAGGAAGCGATTGAGGGTCGGTGTTGTTTGACCTCCCAGCCGCTACGTTCGGAGGGGAAGTTCCCTCGGCAGCGTGCGTGCAGCAGCCGAGCGCCCGAAACAACCGCAGCGGGAGCAGCCCCGGCCGCAGGAGGCTCCGCAAGGGACAGCCGCCGTGTCCGGGGCCGTGTCCGGGGCAGGGGCGGTGTCCGACCCCCAGCCCCGGCGGAAGGGCGGGCCCAGGCGGCCTCCCAGCGGCGGCTCTGCTGCCGGCCGTGCTGCAGCGATAGCAGAGCTCCTGGTTAAACCCCATTCTTTGCGTAAAATGCTGTTCCGCTTCGGCGTGGTGCTGCCCGGCCGGGTGACGGAGGGCGGCGCGGAGCTGCTGGTGGCCGGGTCGCGGCCGGAGCTGGGCGAGTGGGACCCGCGGCGCGCCGTGCCCATGAGGCGGGCGCGGCCGAGCGCCCCGCTGCCCGCCCAGGAGCCCGCGCTGTGGCTGGCCGAGGTGGCGCTGCCGGACGAGGACGCCGCCAGCCCCTTCTGGTACAAGTTCCTGCGGCGGGAGGGCGGCCACTTCCTCTGGGAAGGTAACGGAGGGGACCCCCTGGCCGTGCCGGGCCGCCTGCCCCGCCGGGAGGAGCGGTGCGGCTCTCTGAGCAATGGCTGTGGCGCCGTCCGCTCGCAGCCCCGCCGCTCCCTGCCGCGGCCGGGGGCCTGTCCCGGGCGGGAGCTGCCGGTGCACGTAGAGCCGCCCAGGCTGTCGCGGCTGTCGTGACGTGGGTTCTCGCAAACAAAAATGTTTTTTGGCTGTGTGACGGAGGCGGGTGAATGCAGAAGGAGGCTGACTTTCTAGGTTGGTAAAAGTTATTTGAAACAGTTTCATTCCCCCCCCCCCGCCCCTCCCTCCCTTTAGGCATCCATTGTCATGATGTTTTGTTTCTTCCTCAGAAGTGAAGAATTTAGGATCTCCTAGTATGCACTATGGTGTGGGTTATTTTATTTGGCTAAGGTGAAACGTCATGATGGCATTTTCACGCTGGTAAATTTTGCTATTTTGATTTCTTAAAGAAAAACACAGGGAGAAGTTCAGTTACAGCTTTTCCAGTCTTCTTGCTGTTTCAGTAGTGCTTCCACCGTGTTTTCCTCTTTCTGTGTGTTTTCAAATGTTGAATAACTGGTCAGTTTCCATATGCTGTTTAGTATATTGAAGTATCTTAAATCCAAGGGAATACTGAGACAGTCGTCTCCTGAGTCAAATAAAACTCTTAATATACCTCCTGTAACTGAGGAATGATCTGACCTAGTGAAAGGAAGATAGATCACTTGGTAATTTGTAGGGGTATTTTTTTAACTCATAGCATAATAATCCATGTACCAAAATAACACATTGTAGAGCAGTTGCTCTTCACCCGTTTTAAGAATACATACCACTCTTCTGAACTGCCTTTCTGTCATGTAGACTAAAACATGCATGTTGTCATAACTGTTGCATTTGTTTGTTCTTCTTCATGCCAATAAAAGAATTTGTGTTAATGCTACATTCACAGAATGTACATAAAGGACTATGTACATCATACAATAGTAATTGTTTTGTGTAGCAGCTAAAACAAATGGTATATTCTGCCTGTTTTAACCGTGTTTTTCTTTTCCAGAATTGCAGGAAAAGTGAATTTATGGAATAAAAATCTTTACATCTGTCCAAGGAAGCAGAATTGGGTCTCTTTGAAGGTGCCAAGTTCTACATAATATGACAGTGACACTGGTCTATAAAGCAGTCCTCATCACACAGATTATAGAAATAATAGTAGAAATAGAAATAATTAGAATTGCATAGAAATAATAGAGAATAATTACAGAGAATCACCAATTTTAAAGTTGATGGTTATTCTCTGGTTGGAAGTAGTGGTAGCTCAAATTGTTGTGTATTCCAGGGAGCACGTTTAGGAAATGTAGTCAGAGTAATAAACATATTTTGTTTTGGCAGATTTGCAGTTTTAGGATTAACCTGGCTGGCATTTTGTTCTTGTCATTGTGAATGCTCAGGAGTTTGAGCTCAGTGCTTAGCAGGAATGATAGAAAGCAAGTGGGCATATCATCTAAATGCAGAAGAATTTTTAAATTAGTCATTAATATAAACAATTTTTTCCTTGATTGATATTTACAGGAAAGCACAAATTTGCTTAAACCTTGAAATTTATTGTTCTTTCTTTATTGCATGAAGGGAGCCTAGGGATGTTTTCTTATCCAATAACTGAGCAATCTTGCCATTCGTTTTAATCTGTTTTAGTGGTTTTGGGTTTTTTCTTTTTATAACTGTGATCAATGAAAATTTGGCTGTCATCTGTTTATTCTTGTAAAAATCACAACTTGAAAAGACAACTCTTTTCTTAAGAAAAGAACAGGTGTTTTTTTGTGCTAAGCAAATGCTGTGCATTGTCTCTGTAGTATCCTGTGTGTTTAGAATTAAAATGGGCTTTGGGAAACACTTAGCACTTGCAGAACATCTGCAGTTTTGAAGACATGTTCGTGAGGGATAGAGGAAAGTGCAGAATGATACTTGCTCTAAGTTTTTGAGTTGAGGCATCCATCTGTAACCAGAGAAACTGTAGTTAATGGATGTCAGTGTAGTTAGGGATGTCAGATGTTTACATATACTGGATATTGAAATCATGTGCTGTATTTAAGAAAATGACTTCAGATTTTTTACTAAGATACGTATGCGTGTGAGAATTCCACTGGCAGAGCATATTTTTTTTACGATAGTACGATACCCATGTATCATGTAATTTGAGTACAAATTTCAGCCATTCCAATACAGTGGGGAAGACTGAAAGATTACAGTGGAGGTAGTTATTTATGTGGGCTAGAAGAGTCAAAGTCACAGGCCAGTGTTCTGTGGCTTTTGGTAGGAAGCTTTCAGGCAGGGCTTGGCCTGTGCAAGATTCACTGGGTTGTTGCATGTGGCTTGAGGGAGCAAGTTCCCCTCCCTAGGAGGATGAAGTGGGAGGTGAGACTCCCCTGTGCTCCTGAAGATGACGTGCTTCTGCTGTCCCAGGGAGATGTTGCTGGTCTGCACACAGGACCTGTCACTTAAAGCCATTGAGTGTTTCTGGCTCAGGTCACATGAGCTGTTTGGGGTTTCTTCAGGATTGGTGCTTGCTTACCTACTGTGAAAGCTGAAGCCTGCTATCCAGGAGGGTTTGTGATATGCTAAGGTGTCTGTCAAAACAGGTTGGTTATGCTGAGCTTCAGAATCTGGGAATAGGTTTAGAAAAAAGGCTAAATTTATGTGTGTACCTTTTTCTCCCCCAACTGCACCTGTGTCTGTGTACTTTGTTTTTTGTGTTGATTCTTCAAAACTGGACTTAACATCTCTCAGTTTGGAAACTAAAAGAATTTTGTGTCTGCTGTCAAAACGAAATAAATACAAGATGAAACTTATGCTTGAGTTTATTTTTGTGAGTTTATGATGGAAGACTCATCTGTGCCTTTATCTCCTTACTTTCATCTAAATAAACTGTAGGTACTAATAAAGAAACATGCTGCATAAAAGGACAGGGAATTTGTTAGAGGTATGCCCCAAACTGTATTTTGAGAGGATGGAATACAGTCTGCTGACACTTTGTATTTTTGGGAAGGGAAAAAATAAATTGTATAGAAAACCTACATAAGCTTGTAGTACATACACAAGCTTGCAATGTAAAATATTGCCCCTTTGTTGCCCAGAGAAATTGTGGATGCCCCTTCCTTGAAGTGTTGAAGGCCAGCTTTTATGGGGCCCTGAGCAACCTGGTCTACTGAAACGTATCTCTGCCTGGGGAACTGGGTGATCTTTAAGGCCACTTCCAACCCAAACCATTTTGTTATTCTGTGATTTTTGTGTAGCTCTTAGTTTAGATGGTGTAGATGGAGCTTGCCAGATCCAGTATTACCAGTGAAAGCACAGCCAGCCTATATTCTAGTAATTTGTTCAGGTGAGCAGAGCCTTAATTCTTACAAAAAAACCTCCATCTCTAGTTTTGGGGAGGGAGGAGGAGAGAAAAGATGTCTTGTTTGCAAGACAAATGATACAATACAGTGCAATTTAAATACAATTATGTTACTCAGCCTGTAGTATGTTGGCCTTCCAACATTTCCAGTTCATGCTTCTGTGAGCCTATTTGTATAAACCAAAAGACTGGTAGATTTTTGGAGTAATAAGTGTTTTCACATCACTGTAATACAACCAGTGAAAATATCAGAAATAAATTCTGATCATAGGATTGAGCACCTGATTAGTTGAAAACATTGCTGATAGTTAAGCACAATAAAATTTCACTTTTAAAGTGTGTTGAAGCTTGAAGCAATCTGACTTTTGGCTTCAGCTCTTTGAATAAAAAAGGTGTAATTTCTTCATTAAAAGGAGGGGATTCTTCTGAGGCTGTATGAGAAGGTAAGATCTAGTTGCCATTTGCAATGGAGAGATTGTAATGGAATGAAAAATACTTGGGGCTAAGTCTTAGCAGGATATGCAAAATAAAAAAAAAATTGAGGCCATTCTAAGAAGTACAGTTGGATACAATGTTAATTTCTATAACTGAGATCCATGGGGTTTTCCTTTTTTTTTTCCCTCCAAACCTAATCTGCAGATCCCCCAAATTGGTAGCAGTTCCATTATTAAAAACAAACAAACCTGAATTAAAAAACAAAAACAAAAACCAGCAAACCCTGAAGAGTTACATTTCTTCACGGGTCTTTTAATGCAGCTGTTTCATGTAGTGCTCTTCCCACTGGGTGGTGCCATATTCCCTGTGTATAGCCAGCGCCTGCCTAGCGTCTCGCAGCTACTTGCATGTTTCATTAGTATTTTGTGTAATCTGTTAGGCTCTTGAAAATAATCCAGAATTTTACTTACTTTCCCAAATCCCAGTTCTGAAGTAGGTGGTGAGTAGAAATCAACATAAAGCACAAGTTATGTGATTGTTGTATAATTGTGCATCATAGGCATTTTGTTCCTGCAAAGCTCTTGCTTTCTGGACAGCACTAGATAACCTTAACACTTTTCAGATGTGACAAAACTTAACGAGTGGATAACTTTGAATTCTTCAACCCAATACTTCTTTAAGGAATGGAAAAAAGCTTTGGTTACAATGTGGAATAGCTCATTGTGTTTTGTTCTTCAACCCCCTCAAGGCTTATACATAGCATGCATTTTGGTGCAATTAAATGGCATCAAGATTCTCTTTCTATCTGCTTATCAGCATTAGCCAGCTTATACTGAGCAACCAGACATCAGTAAAAAAAACGTAGAATGGCCATGTGAAACTGCAAAATTACAAGAATAAAAATAAATGCATATAGTTGCATTCTTCTGCGTTTGGCAGGCATAGATCTTTTCCTACCCACAGAGATAATCAGGGGCCAGTTCTGATTTCTGTGCGAGTCTAATTAAAGCCTTCGTGGTTATAATGGCAAATTTACAATAAATGCTTTTTTTATGCAAATCCTATATTTACCATTTTTCCTTTCCCTCACTTCTAAGTGGAAGGTGGGCTCAACAACTTATTTTGAATGGAAAGAAACACTGAGAAGTGATAAGTAATTGGGATGATACTTTGGTCAAAGTATTGCCATGGTTGCTATTTTGATGTAGTTCATTTCCTGCCTATTCTGGTATGGTAGAAAGTAACAATTAGTAGTAGACAGTACAGTAAACAGTGTCAGAGCAAACAAGAAGATGGTATTAGATTATACATTTTATCGCTATTAACCATTATTCTCTCATCTGTATTTCCTGTAGAGTTATTTCTACCATCTGTCAGAAAAGAAATTGTCTTATACATGAGGAAAATTTCCTTTTAGATGCTTTTCTCTGACTTCATCATTAAACCAGGCATTTGGTTAAAATCTTAGTACAATAGAAGTTCCCACTGAAAAACACCTGGGCCTGAGCAGACCAACAGAGAGAAATAAAATATGTTTTTGAAAGTTGCCTTTGAAAATTCTGATTTTCTTATATCTGATTAAAAAAATAATAAAAAAAAAGCCTTGGTGATGAACCGCATTAAGTATTAAGAATGGCTTTCTTGTAAATCATTTAGTTTTCATTCAGGCATAATTTCAAAATGTAATTCCATCAAAGAATTTTCTTAGGATATATCAATAAAAAGACTTAAATTCTGCCTGGATTTTAATAGAATTAGAACTTGTTTCCATGGTTCTGTGTAGCAGCTCTATCAAAAAGGAAGTTGAAACAGTCTGCTTTAAGTCTGATAGAATATAAACATGTGGTGTATGATGCACATGATTTTCTTCTTTTTGGGTATCTCTTCTTGGCTTGCAAATGCAAAGGAACATTTTTGAAAATCAGACCAGTTAGAAGGAGTTACTTAGCTAGGTATAGCAAATTAACTATTTTGTCTTACTTAAGTATTATGTATTTAAGTAATACAATAAATTCATCTGCCACCACTTACAGAATCTAAGGGGAAGATGGTTTGCTGACAGAAGAAAAAAGTAGCATTAAAAATCAAAGCATGCTTTTCTTTGGCGTACGGGTTAGGCTTCATATGTGGTATATAGAATTGGAGCTATTTGTCAGAGCTGTTAAAACAAAGGACTGCTACTGAGGGCTTGAGGAAAGTGGGACTCCAGAGCCGGTGGCAGACTCAAACTCTCAAAAACTTGATCTCGCTCAGTTCCAAAGAGAGGAATTCAGCCCCCTCCACCTCTGTTTTTTTAACAATCGAAAGCAATTCAGCCCTGGCAAGATTGAGACGGATCCTATTTCAAAACATCAGAGATTGAATTTTGTTCACAGGCAGCAGGGAGACTTTTGTGACAGAATCTGGTGTGAAGGGTAAGTAAATTTGAATATTGTGAGTGTGCTGAAGGAAGTTCAGTTAGAGTGATGTGTGATAACAAGACTGTGCAGCAGCACATTCAGATAACTGAAAATTGAATCCAAAATATCACTTGAGACATTTCTTCATTGTTTTGGTATAAAAGGTAAGGAAGCTAGTAAAAACTTACTCTTTTAAATGCTTTATTTTTGAGATTTTTTTCATAGGTTTTCTTTACTTTCTGTTCTACTACTATTTTTTTTATAAAAAATCTTTTATTCCTTGATGCCTCCCTGTTTATCTGCCCCCAGAGTGCTTATAATATTAAACTCTTCCAGGGGAATTTCTAAGCATGAACTTAAGATACTCATTTACCCTAAAAGAATAAATGACCTCATTTGATAAAAATGGAATTACTTAAAATATTTAGACATAGTTAAAATTTTGAATTGACATTTAAAGTGTGCTGGTTCATGTAAAATTATGCCAAAGATTATAGGAGTTAGTCTTTCCTCTGACTGAGTTGTGAGTAGGTGATCTGAAAAATGCCTGGCTGCTTGTGGTTTGGGTGGGTTAGTTAGTTAATGTGTTTCAGGTTATTTAAGTAGCCCTGTGGTTTTTAAAGAGGTAGAAGTGAACTGAGAAACAGCCTCACCTTACTGGGGTTTGGAGGTTTAGAAGTTGCATATCTGTGTTTTAGGGTCAGGCTAAGGCAGGGATGAAATACCCAGTACCTTTATGGCTGCTGTTGTGCCCTGTAGTTCCTACATACCTTACACAACACAGAATAGAAAAAATTAAAACTTGGAGCAAGGTGTGCAACAAGCTGGTAACTGGGAGAGCAGTGGTTGAGCAGAGCCTTTGCTGCAAAGAGCTCTGCAGAGACACTGGGAGAGGCAGTCTTATTTTTTTCATTAATTTATGTGTTTTTTTGTTCACCACTCGTAATGGTGATAAGAAATTTCATTGACCCATATTTTGTTTATCTTTTAAGATCAAGCTGGTAATTTCTTCACTTTGACTCTTCTGTGCAATCTGTGTGCAGTTATTTTCTGTGTCAAGATAAGTCTGCGCTGTTGGCAGACTTTTGAATTATACTCTTTCATGCCTGCAGTACAGCTGTAATAAAATAGTAACGGCAGGCTTTTGTGTTTCGTGGTTGTGCCTCATTAGTTTGAATTTCAGAACATCCTCTTCTAGTCTCTGCTTACCTTTTTCAGTCCTAGATCTTTGCACATCTTGTATCACTTCCTATATCTTGCTTCTGGTTTTCACAGGATTAATCAGGTTGCAAGGGATCACAGTGGGTCATCTGGTCCAACTTCCCTGCTCAAGGAGGATCAAAACCAGTTTTCCTTTGCTTCATTCTGGTCTCCTCCTTTCATTCTTGTTTCCTCCTTCTACCAGCTTTCCTCCTTTTACCAGCACCATTTATCAGTTATATGGAGATCTTTGGTTTTATTCTTCTGTTTAGTTATTTCTACAGCCACTTCTTATGCTCCTTTGATCATCCTTCATATGCATTAAACAAGGAGCCATAAACTGCAGTCATGCAGATTTTGAAAGAGCCCTCTGTGAGGCTGGAGCCGTAAGTGGGGCTACTCGGTTGCTTTGCTCTTCAGCAATTCCCTACATCAGTGGATTCTGCGTGAAACCATCTGCAGTACAGAGCAACTGGTGCAAAAGCAATGAAAAACTTTAATGCCTAGAAACTTATTTAAATCTTTTTCTTTCAGATGAGCATTTTTGATGTGAAGACTCATCAAAACAAAGATGGGTTTTAAATTTTTAAAAAAATGCACCTTATGAAAGGAAATAAAATGCTATTCTAGAAGTTAAACTAGGACCTGCATATTCTAATAAACTCTTCCAAAATACATTTCTTCTTTAATTAGGAAAGCCAACATGATCAATTAATGGGAAGATCAGTACTATTCAAATACTCAATTTATCCCTTTGTATGGTTGGATTTTACATGTTTTCAGATGATTGTGTATTTGCTTCCCAACAATAAATAATTAAACCTGTGTTTTGCTACTTGGAATATGAATAAGAACAAGATGAAGAAAAATAATGACATAGAAATGGGTTTATCTGTAAAACCATGTGTTTGCTGTTGTGTGAGCTCTTTCTCAAAGGACATTTGTGTTTATTTTCCTTTTCTTCAAAGATGAACAGGTGAATGTTGTCTCGTGGCATTGAAAATATGGTGGATTTCCTGAGAGATTGTGCTATCAGAAGCATGAGGTGGACTGAGAAAATAATTTTTTCTCATTTTGAAACTTCCTTGTTAAATGCATATTGTGAAGCAAACTGTTGAGAAGCATTTTTGTAATCATGTGGATATTACCTGGGTAGTGAAACCTGATCATTTTTTGGTAATTGCAGATTTTCATAATTCCCTTAAGAAGTATAGTGAATTCAGCTTTCTGAACACAGTCATACTGAACACTTTGATCATGCTGTTCCCTAAATTAGTATTTATTGAATATGGTAGCACTCTTTCCTTCCTGTATGAAACTATATTGCGTGTGAATATGTATGTATATGTTGAAAATATGTTGATGTACATTATGTTGCACAGATGTCTTATTTCAGTAGGAAAGCTGTTTAATTCATAGATCAGTATCTAACATAAGGAGTAGTAAAGAATGAGGCAATTCTCATAAAATGTGATATGAGTGTAAGCTGCTACTCTTTACCTGGTAATTAAAGCCAAACCAGAACCATGCCTTTTGAGATTCAGGTCTGACTGTAGGCCACAGCGGGGAGGCTAAGGCTCAGTGGTGCACAAAAATCAACAGCAATAAATATTAATTACAGAAGACAGTGTTTCAGAATGAGATTTGACTAAACCTGTTTGAGGGAACAAACAAAATACACATCTCATGCGAACTTACTCTTGGCCCCGTTTCCATATGCGGTTTTAGGCTATTTAAGGGAATTAATGATGGTGAAGGTGGTTAGGTCACAAGGCATGGACATTGCAGGACTTAAGAAGGCAGAGAGGAGGAGGAAGGTCATAGAGAAGGAAGGAAGGCAAAAAAGGGACAAGAATTAAAGCTGGAGAAAGGGAGGGATGATGAACTGTAAAACTGGCAGGTGGCAGAAGTGCATGCTCAAGTGGCAGCAATTGGAAATGGGGCAGTAGGAAGCACATAGCGGGTACCTGTGTACAAGGAAGCACAGGGCTGGGAGTAGCAAAAAAGCCAGAGATTCTGAGAAATGGTTCAAAACTGCCATGGTGCAGTGAGGGCTGGAAACTCCCTGGGGACTGCAGGGACACCCCATGGGACTGGCAGTCAGGAGCAGGCAGCCAGGGGCACGAGGGCAGCCCCAGCCCCGAGCATCAGGCATCTCCCTGGGGGCAGGCTGAGGCTGGGGCAGGACATGAGCCTGTGGGCATGTGGGAGTCAGGATCAGACACAGCCTCATGATGGCAGGACATGGCCATGGTGATGTGCATCGCTACAAACAGTTGTTGGACAGTAGAATAGGGAAGGCAAGATGTGGTGTTTGTGGCTGTATTTTGCTGAATGCATGAAGTAATTAATTAAATGTCATAAACATCCATAGATTTTGCTATACTGTTGTATTTGTTGATGTATGCTGTTGTCTTCTTGTATTGTTTAAAAGTGGTAAGAATATGTAAAGAATTATAAATGTGAGATAAAAATATAGTGGTGAGATTTGTAGCTTCTGAAACTGTATTGATCTTGTTTACCTTATTTATAATCAAAATAATCAAAAACTATGTGATGCATAATTACTCAGCAATGTGAAAGAGAAAATAGTTTTCTGCCTCATATTTTCATTTTGGTAAATAATAATATTTCAAAATTATGATAAAATGGCCTGCATGTCATCTGGAAATAAGGAGATGGTTTGAGCTTTTCTCTTAAATGTTATTCTTGCTCTCTAATCATTGCATTAATACATCTCCCAAAATGCTCTTGCTCTGGCAAATTTCCCTAACTGTAGTGATTGAAAACTGGTCATGCATTTACGTGCAGTGGGAAATTGAAGATATTCCTTTGGGCATAATTTTTCTCAGAAATATTTTAACATCATTAATAATGTATAAGTGTAACAGGCTTAAGCAAGCCATAGACTAGGTCACTTCTGATCTGCACGATAATTATTCCTACATGGCAATTAGTATTACAATAAATTATGGGGGGAGGATGTATTTGTGCTGTATTTTTGGAGGCTGGATAACCTTTTGATTGATGATACGACCCATTTCAATTCAAGTTGCTTACTCTGGCATGGTATTAAAAACAGGTTTTCTGACTAAAGCTCACACTACTGCTGTAAGAGAAGAAGAAGGGGTAATAAATATTAGTGGAAAACTGTAAGAAAAAGAATCTTACTTTAAACTAGGCTGCTTAAGGTAGCTGTGGTCATTCACCATTGCAATTGTGACTGTCTCTCTGTGGGTCACTTTGGGGCAGCTTCTACTGTGTATGAACAGACTTTCAAAGTGAGATGTGCATTTGAAGACAACAAAGTGAGGGTTTATTGGTCCACAAACATAAAAGACACATAGAATTTTATGAACTCCTTGGCTAGATATCCGAATATGTCTGGTCTGCAACAGGAATCTGATGGGTCTTTGCTGGCCAGGCAGCTGTGAATGAGATGGAAGAGGGCTACCCTTCTTTCCCCCTTTAAACAAGTCTGCCTTGTTTCTACATTGCTGTCTGGCACCTTCTCTGGGCTTTGATGCTTTTACACATTGATGTTTTTCCTCTTGAATCCTTAAGCTGGTAGTTCTTTTGTGGTTTTACCTATCTGAGCATGCATGGTTGTCCTCTGAACTTTCTCTGAGGTCTTTCCCATATCTTGGCAACTTCCTCAGAAGTCAGCCTGAACCAAGGTCAGGCTGCCATGGCATGTCTGAGACACAGCAAGATTAATACCCTAAGAAGAGGTCACTGAGCAAGAATCTGAGGTCACATACTATGAGACAGAAAATGAGGAATTTAGATTAAATTAACTATTCCTTACATTGTAAGTGATTTAGGAATTTTTAATATTATGGAGGTTTTAAAATAGCCAATACATTAAAATATATTTTAAAAATAATCTAAAAAATTTTATTTTAATGCTGAACATTTGCTTTGTGGCAGTGCTTCTGTTGCCACTATTTCAGTTGTTAATAATGCAGTTTGAAGAAGCAGGAAGAACCACTCCTAGCCTTGAATGCTCAGTTCAAATCTCCCTGCAGTTGTTTTTTTTTAAGATTATCCAGATACACAGCTTGAAACTGTCCTTTCTTCTATTCTAGGCAATGGGCCCCATCATGATCGAAGTTGTGTTTACGACCAGAGCAACATAGTAGATGGAGTTTACTGCCTCCCAATAGCACACTGGATTGAAGTCTCTGGGCATACTGATGAGATGAAACACACAACCGATTTCTATTTCAATATCGCAGGACATCAAGCTATCCATTACTCCAGGTAAAAGAAATGTGCAGAGCTTGGCTGGCATCAAATGTTACAAACAGAAAATCTGAACGGGTGTATTTGAAAACTGCATTTGAAGCAAGGAATGTTTGTATGCATGTAACAGTAAACTTTAACAAAGATTCAGCACCTCTTTGCAACTGAATGTCAGTTTAGCAGATCCTAAGTTCAAGGATACCTGTACCCTGTACAGGTCTGTTATGTTGCAGCACATCTGAAAAAGTTTTGTGGCAATTTTTGGGTAGTCATTTTCAAATGCTTGTCTATATACCCATGTAAAATTGCTTGTATGTTATGTGCTTGGTTTGGGATGATTCTACTGAAGAACATGTCCTGGGAAACAAAAATGATATAATCCAGCACCAGAATCTACTTGTGATATGTTGTTGCTCTTGTGTGGCAGCCACTGCAATTAGTGACAGCTGCTTTTAACGGCTTCCACTTCTGGGCATGTATTTAACAAAATACTAAATCTTAGACAGGCCTTAAAATGTTTGTATTCCATAGTGTTCACTTGAGTCCACTGTCCCACTGGTGAACATCCTGGCTTGAATAAGGAGACAGTAAAGGTCAAGGAGAGCACCCACCCTTTAGGGCTGCAGATGAAGCACAGGCTGTATTTAGAGCAACAGGCTGAGCACTGGAGGTTAACAAAGTATCACTGAGGAATTTGGGACCCTGTGTAGCTTTTTTCCCCCATCTCCCGTCCATTGATCCCAGCAGGAAGTTCGTGGATTGATAATAGTTGTGTGAATGCTGGCCGTTCTGATATGCCACATGCATTACAGAACTGTTAGTTATCCCAAAGGGATATGTATTTTTTTAAGAAATCAAACCACCTTGTACTTTCATTAGGCCCTAGCATTGTTTTGTGTGAATTTCTCCAGACCACTTTATCAGCTACACCAACCTCACCATTGTGTCTCCTCTTTGTCTCCACCCTCTCACAGGGTAGGAAGGAGAATTGTCTTTTCCTCATTAGACTTGCATTGTGAGAGGCAAAGCTTTCTTCCCCTTGGTATCTTTTGGAATAGCAGGGATTCATAAACACTGTCAGGGACATGTAGGTATTTGTGGGACCTTTTCCCTCAGACCCCCTCAAGTTATATAGTATGCCTGATAGACTATAGTGTTATGTGGATCTTAAGCATTTGTTTCCAATATCCTATCAGAGTAAAGATCTTGTTTATTCCAAAGCACAGACTTGTCAATCCCAAATAATCTTTGCTTGGCAGAGACATTTTTTGAGAAAGAAGAACAGCTGTCAGAAAGTGAATATCTAAGTACCAAAGGCTAACTTATCTTCCTTTCCAGAAGCAGCAGTGATCCATTTAATGACACCTTATCTGCATGACTGTGTGTTTCAAAGACTAGGTAAAAAGCTGCAGATTCTGCTAGAGGATATTTGCAGAAAATTTCCTGGGCTGTGTAGTCTTTTGCAGATGAGGGTCTTTTCCTTCATTCCCTTCTCACACACACATAGCTTCATTGAAAGGCAGCCTTATATGTACATCTTAGTAACTCTTATCTCGTTTCTTTGAGCTATATTAAGTAAGTGTACGCTGTAACAGTCCTGTCACATAATTATTTCTAATACTTTGAAGATAAGCAGCTTTAAATGTTTTTTAATTACTAACAGTTGGGGTCAGATTCACCATTCTGCAGGTTATAATAAAGCAGCCAAAAAATACTTGCTATTTTAGATTTTTTTGTTGTTGTTTGCCGAGCAGCTGAAGTGAGCTGATGAAAATGCCTTTAATTTGCAATGGATTTATTGATTCAGAGGAGTACTATGAAGATTAATCTAATATTTTTTTTTAATACCCCATATACCCCCCCATACTCCCCAAAGCAAAACCAAAACTCAAACAGAAGCAAAAAGCTAGTCCTTCTGCCTGTAAGTTAAATCTCATAGTATGATCACATCATGGTTTTCCAGCTAACATTACCTTTTTCCATGCTGTACTAAAGGTAGTAGTGCTTCAGGGAGCATTATGACCACAAATTCTGAGTCCTGTCACCACTTGTAGGATCTTTACAGTGGTGGAGGTTGGAAAGAAGTGATTTATTAATGAAAACTTTTGATGTGAGCTCATCCTCTATGTTACTCCACTTAATAGGGCTGCCATGTGTGAATTAGTGAGAAAGGTTTTCCTTTGTCAAAGCGGGTTCCCACATGAGCCCTGGAACTGATTTCATTTATCCTCTGTTGAATCACAATTAGAAACAATTGCTGTGAGCTTTGTTGTCATCTTGCTTCTTCATAAAACATGAGCTTCTGCTTTATCTGGGCTGCAGCAGGATGAGAAGAGCCTGCCTCTGGCTGGGACCAAAACCAATTTTGCGCTGTGCTGAGGCTGACGACAGTGCTCTGAGGAATCAGATTTTTCTTATTTGATGTAGATGTATCACTCATCATTTAGTGAACTTACATTTAAACTTACGTTTAGAGAACTCATTTTGTTTGTCATTCCGGTAGGAGAGTATATAATGTGGTTTTTAAACACAGCAGGATTTGAACTAATTTCTTGTAAATGTGAAGTGGAGCTTTCCCATAGCTAAGAGTCATGACTGATACTTTCATTACATTAATATTCACTTTGTTTGGATATGTAATGACACCTTTAACCAAAATCTGATTCAGGAAAAATAATCCAAAACAAAACAATCAGTTTGTCTTTTTTGCTAGATCTTACTGCAATAAGATGGCTTCCAATTGCAGGAAAGTTCACTTAGGATGAGATAATTTTCTGAAGTAAATTGGAGTTATTGTAATCTTTTCTGAGAGAAGATGACTTCAGAAAATTTGTGAATCTGGGCCATATTATCTCTGTTTCAGTTCCATCCGTGAAAAGCAGAAGTTCCTAATTTGTAGATGTAGTATACCTTATTATATATATAAAAACATCTGCATTTCTCAGAAGAATGGAATTGCATAAGAGCAAGAGAGGGAATGATGCCTGAAATTACAAAATAATTTAATAATATATTGAAGGCAATGATACTTTATTGCAGAATTAGGTGTTATGGAAATTAATATCTCTTACAGGGAAAGACATCTAGTTAGTTTCCTATTTCCAGACTGATTTTAGGTGTGTGCTATTTGTGAATCATATTTCTTAAATCTGACAAAGAAAAAATAATTTTTACATGACTTTCATGTAAAATGCAGATAAACTGAAATGTGTAAGTGAATTCCTTAGACAACAACCTCTCTAACTGTGGTATTGTATGGCTGTTAAACATTTTGGAGGAAAATATACGATTAGGAATCCACAATCAGGGGAGTCACTACATGAGTGTAGCCATGGGTCCTGACAACAATTTTTTGAGGTACAGGTTTCTTTAGTACCTTTTTCACATTTTATATATATATGCCATTAAGTACTAATATCTCATGTTCTTGTTTATGGAGTGATTTGGAAGCTGACAAATGTGTTGCTATCATCAGCGGGGTTTTTCCTTAAGACAAAATTAAGGTAATGGTAAAAGAAAATTTACTCCCATGCTTGGAAATATTATTTTTGTTTCTCTGTGGCTGCAAATGAAACACAACTTATGATGTAGTATTTACAAATTCTTTGTGGCTTGTTGGTGAGACAGGTTCCTACAACACTGCCAATAATATAGGTTATAACCTAAGTTAGGTGTTGAGTGGGAATGATCAGGAGAGTCACACAAGATGTGTGTTCCTGCTTTGTAGTAAATGGTAATGTAGATAGGTGAGTGAATGAAGAATGATCCAGGGCAAAATGGAGATGCTTTTTTTTAGCTTGTGGAGGTACTAGAGCAGTATTTTGCTCATGGAGCACAGAATTTCTTTCTATGGGAAAAATGAGCATTTACTTGATTGATATGCATCTTTAATTAGGTGGTAAACAAGAACTTTGTTGAGTATATTTGGTTCAGTATGAAATTAGAATTACCTTTGTAAAAGATACAAGAGAGAGCACTTTTTTTTAGTCTTTAATTTCTCTTTTTACTGGTTGTAACTCATTCACAAAATATTTTAAATATGATTTTTTTATTTTAAATAAAATAATTATTTTAAATTTTTATTTCTTTCTATTTTATTTATTTATTTTATTTAAAAATTTATTTCTTTCTATTTTAAATATGATTTTTATCTATTTTTTTATTACTGAATTGTAAAAAGGGCTTTAAAGAGTAAGCTGTCACAAAAATCCCCTAGAGTGCAGTGACATGTGCTACCGTAATAGAAAGCTGCACTGATGTTTTATGCCTACATTATGAATTAGGAGAAGAGGTGATGATGTCTATAGAGATTACCATAATTAACATTAAAAGCTGAGAGCTAACTTTCCCCTGTGCCCAAAGCATGCTTGTGATAGTAGAGAAAAGAATAAGAAATAATGAGCTCTGGAACAAAATTCATTGTTTGTGTTCTAGTAAAATAGTCCTGATCAAAAGGACTTAACATCAATAAGAGTTAATCCTTTGATTTCAGTACTTAGGTCTCTAACTGTGAAGTTATCTGGTAATTTTTTACATTAAATAATGAAAATATTCTAAGGCACATACTTTGATCTGTTTATCCCATAAACTAGGATATCTGGCTACTCCTTTGAATTGTTTCATTGTATTGAGCTATAGTCCGAAACTAATATAAATTGGAACCATAAAAGGGAATCGCCTTTTATAGAACAGTTCAAAGGTTAATTCTATTTTTTGTCCTTTGTGTGTCTTCATTTTTTTCTACGTCACCCCCAGCTGGAGCTGGGAAATGCTTTTACTGCCCTCTGTTATGAAGAAAATGGGTTTCAAATGAGTGTAAGAAATGACATTTAAGCAATTTTTTATTTAAGTTCTTGAAAGTGAAGAGGGGGTGTGAGGCAACAGGAGCAAGAGTGCGAAGACAAATTATAAGGCTAGAATTCTATTTGGTTTTAGTTTTCGTTTTTGGTTTTAGTTTTGGTTTTAGTATTTGTTTTCATGTATTTAATTTGGGTGATCTCTGTATTGGGTAACAAATG